TTATCAATTCTGTACAGTGGTTTGACACCTTTTGTAGAACTGACTAATCAGCTGCTAATCTCCCTGCAAAGCGAGTCGTGTGAATCACCATTAAAAGCTGAGACAGTCCTCCCAGGTTTAACAAGCGGTTTAGCCCTTATTACCTCTGTTGCCCATGACATAAACATGAGGAGGAGAGAACTTATCAGACCAGAACTCAATTCAGAGGTTATGAAATCCCTGTGCGCTCCAAGCAATCCTGTTTCACAAGAACTGTTCGGTGATGACCTGAGCAAAAATGTAAAGGAATCACATGAAACCAAGAAACTTGCTTTAAAAGTGACAAAGTCCAGCTTGCGTGGTAGAGGAACACGGCGTTTCCATCCTTTTCAGGCTGCTTACTCTCATTTCAAGTATGGCCAATCATCAAACAGCACAAGGCCTTTTTTAGGCCGGGGGCGAGCCAATGTGGCTTGGAAAAAGACAGCTCTACGCGTGTTCAACAACCGTCCAGGTCACAACAGCCAAAACCAGAGGCCATACACCAGCAACAACAAAAAATAAATGTGAGTAAAGTTAAGTATGCTCATATCACTTCAGTGACTGTCACAGAGTGTAGCAAGATTGCTGGGAATATTCAACATTTTCTCCATGAATGGAGACAACTAACTAGTGATAAAACTATCTTGGTTTTTGTAGAGGGTTGCACATTTGAATTTCTTGAAACACCTGCTCAAATCTCTGAACCTAAATCACTCACATTCAATAGAGTAGAAACTGAGGCCATTAATTCAGAGGTTGACAAATTGCTCTCTAAAGGAGTTCTCATTGAATGCCAAGATGAGCCAGGCCAGTTTATATCAACAGTATTTTTGAGACCAAAGAAAGATGGGACTTTTAGGATGATCCTTTATTTGAAAAACTCAATATGTTCATAGCTTATCATCACTTTAAGATGGAAACTGTACATAGTTGCATTAACAGCATGACAAAAAATTGCTATATGGCATCATTGGATCTTCGTGATGCATACTACTCTGTACCTGTTGACCCATCTTTCAAAAAATACCTAAGATTTAGGTGGAATGATAAACTCTACCAGTATACAGCTCTTCAGAATGGCCTGTCATGTGCACCCCTGTACTTTACCAAGTTAATGTTACCTGTGCTTGCCACACTTAGGAAAGCTGGGCATATTGTCTCTTGTTATTTAGATGATTTGTATTTGCAATCTAGTACATATACTGGGTGTCAAGAAAGTGTGCAAAATACCATGGAATTGTTGGAAAGTCTTGAATTTATTGTACATCAAAAAAAGTCTAAATTTACCCCTGCACAGAACATAGAACATTTCGGTTTTATCTTGGACTCAAAAAACATGCATGTGACAGTCAATGAAGAAAAGCAATGTAACATGGTGACACTTGGTAATAAGATCATTAAAAAGAACTCTCAAGGAAACTGTTCTATACAAGAGGTAGCTCAGTTAATAGGCACAATGGTTGCCTGTCTGCCAGGTGTGGAATATGGTGAACTTCATTACAAAAATTTGGAAATTGAAAAAGTAGCTGTGCTTAAAATGTCTATAGGTAATTTTGATGCCCTGGTATCCCTTTCTCAGTCGTCTGTTGATGACATAAAATGGTGGTTTGACATGGCTCTCTTTCCAAAGAAAATTTCTCATGGCAATCCAGTGACCACTCTCCGAACTGACGCTTCTTTAGCAGACTGGGGCGCTGCTATGAGAGATAAGACAACAGGGGGGCGCTGGCTTGAAACTGAAAGGAATGAGCATATTAACTTTCTAAAACTGAAAGCTGTTTTTCTTGGATTACAGTCATTATGTGGACGTCTAACGTTGATAGAAATAGACAATTCAACAGCAGTGGCGTACCTCAAAAACATGGGTGGCACCCATTCTGTACAGTGTAATCATATTGCAAAAACTATATGGCAGTGGTGCATATCTAAGAATATTTGGCTCAGTGCTTCTCACATTCCCGGAGTAGAAAACACACAGGCAGACAGGGAATCACGCAAGTTCAATGACCGCACTGAATGGACTTTGCATAAAAAAGTGTTCAGTAATATATGTAAACATTTTGCAGTACCAGAAGTTGACTTGTTTGCTTCGCGGCTTTCATTCCAAGTTGACACTTTTTTCTCATGGACAGCTGATCCGTTATCTGTAGGAACTGATGCTTTTGTTCATGACTGGAATAACTATAACCTTTGTTATGCTTTTCCACCTTTCAGTATTTTACAGAGTGTGCTTCAGAAGATGCAAGACCAGGCAGATGTACTCCTGGTAGCTCCAGACTGGCCCACGCAGACATGGTATACACAGCTCCTGCATTTGTTGGTGCAGCCACCAGTGCTCCTACCACGGCGACAGAACCTGTTACATCTGCCACACAGCCTCCACCAAGTCCACCCTCTTTGGAGAAAAATGCAATTGGTGGTTTGTCACTTATCAGGGAAAACTTACAAAGGGAAGGATTATCAGACAGAACTCAGGAAATTATCATGTGTTCATGGCGTTCAGGGACCAAAAAACAATACCAAACATATATTAACAAATGGATTGCCTTTTGTACTGAAAGGCATTTCAATTACTTACAACCAAATATGCCAGAAATTTTAGAATTTTTCACTCAACTTTATAACTCTGGATTACAGTACACTGCTATAAACACAGCACGCTCAGCTCTAGCCACATTTATTACATTAAATGGAGATTTTTCCTTAGGCTCACACCCTTTAGTGAAAAGGTTCATTAGAGCTGTGTTTCAGACTAGACCAGCACTACCTAGGTACCAGTGTACATGGGATGTTGATATTGTACTTGATTACATTGAGAGACAATCACCTGTAGAAGAACTTAGTTTAAAAAGTTAACACTAAAATTGGTAATGTTACTTGCATTGATAACTGGACAACGATGTCAGTCTACTCACATGCTGAATTTAAGACAGATAAGGGTTTTGCACAGTGGTGTGCAGTTTGTCATAGATCAATTAGTAAAACAGACAAAACCTGGGAGAGAACAACCAGAGTTGATGCTGCCTAGATTTAGGGATAATATTTCTTTATGTGCTGTCCATACTTTAATAGAATATTTAGTTAGAACTAAAGATTGTAGAGTTGGTTTAGATAGCACTCAGCTGTTTCTTAGCTACTTAAAGCCACATAAACCAGTTACTAAACAAACAATTAGTAGATGGGTCAAAACTGTAATGGCTCAAGCAGGCATAAACACAAAATTATACAAGCCACACAGTACTAGAGCAGCATCGAGCAGTAGGGCATTTTTTGCTGGTGTACCTTTAGCTTCTGTGATGAAAGCTGCAAGTTGGAGCAGTTCTTGTACTTTTAGGAAATTTTATCAGAAACAATTGACAGTTGTGATTATGCCTCCGGTTTGTTGAAATGGAAAAAAGGAGGGGGCGAGTAGGCGTCATTATATTGTACATGATAAGGTACATGATAAATGTGGACTGCAAAGAATAACATGCTTAAGTAAGGTTAAAGGGTTTTGTTTTCTTTTTTGTAGTTGATAGATTTTGCATGAGTCTAATGCAGACATGATGTGCACAATTTGTTCTGTTTTTTCATAAATGTTTAAACAACACTTGTTATTTGTCGTTATTTTTGGGGGGGAAATATCCTCAATGTCCACTCAGGGTTTGAAATCTCGCCTAATCTCGTGTGATCCTGATTGGCAGGATCATGAGAGATTAAGCGCCCACCCTATATGGTAAACCCCTCCCATTTAAGAGGTAATGTTACAAAACGTTTTACAAAATAGTGTATCTGAGTGGCCATTTTCGGTCTGTGAAAATTGACTTTTGGTATCACTACGCAATCTCGCTTAATCTCTCATGATCCTGATAAAGCAGTAGAATTACAATCAAACTTCAACTTGGGTAAGTCTCGTTTAATTTTTTAATTAAAATATATCAATATGAAAACAAATAAAACACTAGAAAGCTGCTTGAACTATGACTTAAACTAATTCCTCTATTCTTTCTAATCGTAACTTGTCATATCGCGTATTTATTTATAAAATACACATTAATACACATTAATAAATACACATTAATTAATTAATACACATTAATTATTATTACTACATAAAATGCATGGTACATTTAGCTGGCTTGATACATGTACATATACTTCTGCAGATGACGAATTAACATCTGTAAATGTCTGGCCGTTATTCAATGATCACTAGTTTCGCATAGATTTGCACCCACAGATCAAAAGAAATTGCACTGTGCACTCTCATTTAAAGCTGTGATGACGTCATAGGTGCACAGAAAAGCGCATCTTATCTGCATCCCTTGTCACATGCTCAGTTGAGCCCGGTGTGACAGGAAGATAGTCAACTAGGAATCGTAGTCCGATCACCATTACTTTTTTACAGGTGACATTCGCCTCATGTACTAACATCAATACTCCAAATAAACCTTATCTACATTAATCATATGGCACCCCAGACTTCCATTCCCAGTACTTCCATTCCTGTCACGATGTCAACGGCATATGTGTAGATGTTTTGTCAAATAAGCAATATTTTCCGTCACTCTCTTCTACGTAAAAAGTCCACTAACTTCAACTTTGATCCATCATTACTGATCTCAACAAGCTATGATCACATACACCATTAAGTTAATTTCCCTTTATTCTATTGGTTGTAGAAGTTATTTGGGTATATAACAGCCAGCCAAAATGCAAACAAATTCGAAAATAAAAAAATGTACAAATACGATATGTTGAAAAGTGTAAATGTTGACGGAAGTCTTTTAGTTTGCTGTGATACATGTACAGCACAGGGGAATAACTCTCTTGGAAAAGCAGGCCCCCGTTTCACAAAGAATCTTAAATCCGTAGTATACTAGCTCGAGCTGGGTACCCTAGCTAGGTCGACTACGCTTCAGTCGACTAGGAGTGTTTCACAAAGAATCTAACGTCTTAGCTTGGTGTGCTTACCGTAGTCGACGCACACGAGAAACTCTTCAAGAAAAGGAGGTGTACAATGTCTTAAGTTTCACAAGACATGATGTTTCATGGCCTCTTTCGCCAGGTTTGTCGATGCATACTACTACATACTAAGTGTAATTAGTTCTTCTTGGTACTTAACAAATGTTTATTTGTAAATCGAGGTGGATCGGATTTGGTGCCACTGCGTGGAAGTCATGAAGTGCAATTTGCTCTCTATTATTTTTTTTCACACAAAAGTAAATTCATCTGATTTAAAATAGAATACATCTCACTCCGGCATCCTGTTCGTGGCGGCAGTTGTGAACGGTCCAAGGACGGCTGTAGCACTGTTCCAGAGAAAGCTCGTCTCCGCGACAGGATACGTCATCAAGGTAGATGGCGCCACTGCCTGGCGTGACGTCACCGTCTTCCATCACAGAGGCTATAAACCGGCTGGAATAAAAATGGAATATCCAATTAACTCCTATTTGCTCTTCAATGAACTCTTTAAAATCAGGTCACCCAACTTGTTTACAAGTTAATTCGACAGGAAGCATATCAATATATTATCAGTTTGCCGGCTGAAGTCTCCGACTGAGAGACGCAACGTCGTCAATATAACGGTATATACTAGACAGATTTGTAAGCTTAGATACATATATTATATATGCCATGTACTCGTATGTACAATCTTGGTCACAAAACAAGACAAAGGCACGTAGGACCAAAGCTGGAGCAACCTTTTTGACAAAGATTGTATCTCATGTGATTCACATACTAGTAAAATAGAACAATCTGCCCATTCACAATTATAGCTTTATACCCACGATATGGTTGCCCTGGTTCACCAAAACGTTAATTAGATAACATTAACGCCATAACGTCATCACCTGTGCCCAAGCATCCTGCAGACCACTGTGGCGCTCCGGGCGTCCCAGCCATCACTGCAGATAGTTCCCCAGTGGCCAGCTTTCCTATCTCTCACCTCCACGCGACCTTCCTCACTGTTGGCAACGCCATCCTTAATCAGGCGCACTATAAAAGAGTCATTGCAGATGATTACGCGTTGTTAACATTTAAAAATACTCCTATTTTACCTACGTGTACCGGTACATGTCGTAATTATAATGATCATGTCAATAGCGCCCTGCTTTCATATTATATTTTTAAGTCACAATTGCACTTACGTTCTACAATGTTAGTACTGTACATTTACAATAAAAACCTATAAACCAGTAGGCATTACATATCAAGAACTTAGTTATATGATTCATTCATAACAAGGAAGATAAACAGCACCTTCGTAAGGCCCGGATGCAGACATGCATTTCACACCTGCGGTGTGGTAGCCGTCGCAATCGGCCTCGTCATCCAAGAGACGTCTAATAGCACATTCAAGAGGCGAATTCTCCAGGCCATTGCAGTAGAATGTATACGGAGCTACGGGGACGTTGCCTTTGCCGAAATATGAACGTTGAAGTCCCACAGCACCAGTGTAGCTAAACAGATAGGCCTATGTTGTATAATTTGTTCGTTTCTTAAATACGCGAAAAATTGATGTTCAATTGCTCAATACCGATTCTTTCAATAGCCAAAATAAGTTTAAAAAAAACAACTAACAAAAGGACCAATACTTTAAGATAAGGCACATGTACAGGTGCAATGCACGTTGACCCTTTGATTTCTTATTGACGACATTACGACATATTACATCCGCAATATCTACATGTATTGTGTGGAACCTGACCTTCTTTAAAATGTCTTCAAGATACGATTAAAAAGGGGCCCCTGTTTTTCGTTTAATGAGAGTAAAGAAAGTAGATTGCTTATTATTAGACTAAATGTATTTTTAAACTGTAGAAGCATGAATGAAATGATCAAAATGCCTCACAGGTAAATATGATAAGTCTTCTTAGAAATAATAGGCTTCTTACCATTAATCATATCTTATACAGTTAAATGTTTTATGGGTCCACGTACCTATATCCCAGCACTCTGCAAAGAACTGTGGCCTCTTCATCACCAAAGCCATCATCACAGAGGCTGTGCCAGCCACTACCTCCTAACTGCACTTCTACTCGTCCCTCTCTCTCCTGATGACCATCTGCCAGTCGCACTGAAACTATATTTTGCGAAAACCCATTTTATTATTCATATCAAAGTTTATAGCATTAGCTGTTACTTGTTTAATTGTATAGTTTGTTAACACTGTCCCAGTGAGACTATTGAGAAAACGGCTGTGTACATCTATGAACACAAACTTGAGTTGTAAAATTTTAATTTACACCGACACGAATGAATTTCCACAGTCTTTTTATCCAGTATGTCTCAAAAACTACTACTCGAAAAATACTCGAAAACTTAAGACCCAAAACAGATATTTGGATAGTTGGGGCCTATTTCTGTAAAGGTATTATATAGGGCACAGATATTCTAAGCAAATGAAAAAAATTGAAAAAAAAAGTCTTAAAATCATGACGTGGATTTTAACCACGTTACACTCACTAGGTGCAGAAGCAGTTGTTGCCGCTGTTGGTAATGATGGTGTCGTTGTTTCCTCCGCCAAACACCTGACTCCGGCATCTTCCATGTCCGTGCAGTTGTATGTTTCCCATGTCCAGAAACATTCTTCCAGATAACTTTCTATGCCGATACAATCCACGTTTCCTATATAACTTCCATTACCTTTGCCAAAGGTAACACTGGTGAAGGCAATGGCGCCACCGTCGCTGCAATAGCAATCAAATTGCATTTAACCTCGCAGCGTGAATCCTGATTATACCATAATGATTGGAAGTAGGCGAGGGTTTCCGATAAGGCCACACTTTTTTATTTTTATGGATGACATCCTCTGGGGACCCCAAAATCGGTGCGGGCGGGCAAAAAAAAAAAAACAGTCCAAAAAAAAAAACTGCTTAAGAAAAGTTATGTTTTCAGTACACAGCTGGAAACACTAATTTACCACAGAAACACGTATCAAACTAACAACATGTCTTTATCCATGCTCTCAAAATATTAAAGCATTGTGAATAGGGCCTACTTCGTAGAAAGGTAAAAAGTCATGAATATATATATATGCTGCATATTACCAAATCTATTTAAGGTTATTTCATGCATTCTGTTGGTATAGCAATCAATAAAACAAATATCAAATAAACAGTCTTTATTTGTACTCTCAGAAAATTTAAGCATTGTGAACACTTCAAAGAATTGTTAAAAAATGAAGCAAAGATAGGCCTATGCTTCCTACTACCAAATCTAAAAAAGGTAATTTCGGTCGATGCCATTTTGTCTACTTCGACTCACACGTAGCAGCCAACTAT